GAAGAAATGTCAAATCTCGCAGACCAATTTATTGAAGCCCATGGTTATACTTCATTCACTAAAGACTTACAAGTTTTTCAGAGGCAACCTCCAAGTATTTCCAGTGTTCAGGGTAACAGCAGTGGATCCTTTCAAAAGCAACAGGCGTACCAAGGATCACCACAGCAAAATGGTGAGAGAAAATGTTACATCTGTGGGAAAAGTGGTCATTTGGCAAGAAACTGTTTCTCCAAGCAGAAAATTCCTCGTGCAGTACCTACTTCACACAATACTCAAAAGGCTGCGATGTTACAGAATCAACATAACTGTGAGTTGAATTGCATAAAATCTAATGACAATTCTAGTTCCAACTTACAGAATTCTGCTGAAGTCAAGACGGACAATGCTATATCGCATCAAAATCAGCCTCACATAGGATCAGCATGCATTCTCAAACATAAACTGTTGCAGTGTTGTGTCACAGATGGACTTGTAAAACTTGCGTGTGGACACATATTACCTGTTATTGGAGGCGTCTGCAAGGTTTGTGAAAAGATGCCCGTTGCTATGGGTTATGTCGGTGAGAACTTTGTTAAAGTATTAAGAGACTCAGGTTGTAGTGGTGTTGTGAAGAGAGATTTGGTTACAGATGATCAGCTGACTGGGCAAGTGCAGAAATGTGTTCTGATAGACGGCACAGTTCGTACAGTAGAGGAGGCTTCCATCTATGTCGACACTCCCTATTTCACAGGTAATATCAATGCTCTATGTATGAAAGAACCTGTTTACGATCTTATTATAGGTAACATCGATTGTGCCAAAAATCAGACGGATCCTGATCCACAGTGGTGTAGAAAGGACGAAAGAGAAGAGTGTAGTCAAGTTCTTCAAGCAGTACAGACAAGGAATCAAAAGAAAAAAGAAGAGAAAGGTATGAAAAAGCTAAGAGTTACAGATTTAGTGGATACTGATATGACAATTGATCAGATGAAACAACTGCAGATGGATGATTCTTCCTTGAAAGTGTATCGTGAGCATGCAGCGACTGGCAGAAAGAAGAACATTGGCGAAAATATAGAGACATGGTTTAGTGTTGAAAGAGGACTGTTGTACAGACATCATTATTCAAAAAAGGTTAGTGATGATGAACTGTATAAACAACTTGTTGTTCCAGAATCTTTGCGACAGAAAGTTATGAAGATTGCGCACGACAGTATCCTAGGTGGACATCTTGGTACAAAGAAGACTCTAGACCGCATCATGTCGAATTTCTATTGGCCTGGAATCCAGGGTGACGTGACGAGATATTGCCAATCATGTGACATATGCCAAAGAACATTTCCTAAAGGCAAAGTGACGAAGGTTCCGTTGGAGAAAATGCCACTTATTGATACACCATTTGAACGGGTAGCCGTAGATTTGGTAGGTCCGCTTTCTCCAATTACTGACAAAGGCAATAGATATATTTTGACTGTTGTAGATTACAGTACTAGGTATCCAGAGGCGGTTGCATTGAAGAACATCGATACAGAGACGGTGGCAGAAGCGTTGGTAGAGATATTCAGCAGAGTCGGCATTCCAAAAGAAGTTCTGTCGGACATGGGTACGCAATTTACCTCCAACATCATGAAAGAGGTGGGTCGACTTTTATCATTTAAGCAATTAGTAACAACTCCATACCATCCAGCATGTAATGGACTAGTAGAAAAGTTCAATGGTACTTTGAAGTCAATGTTAAGGAAAATGAGTTCTGAAAGACCAAAAGACTGGGATAGATATTTACCAGCATTGTTATTTGCTTATCGAGAAGTTCCACAAGAAAGCACTAAATTTTCTCCATTTGATCTAGTTTATGCACGTAATGTTAGGGGACCTATGGCAGTTTTGAAAGAACTGTGGACAAAGGAGGAGAAGGACCCGGAAGTGAAAACTACTTACCAGTATGTGCTTGACCTTAAGGAGCGATTGGCAAGAACGTGTGAGCTGGCTCAGAAAGAACCTCAGAAGTCTAAAGACCATTACAAGAAACAGTATGATAAAAGGACAAAGCCGAGATCTTTCAAGGTTGGTGATTTCGTTCTTCTCTTGCTTCCAACAGACCATAACAAACTTTTAATGCAGTGGAAAGGACCTTTCAAAGTAGTTGATAGAAAAGGACAAACTGATTACCAGATAGATATGAATGGACATATTCGTTTGTTTCATGCAAATTTATTGAAGAAATACAATGTTCGAGAGGAAAGGAATACAGACTCGCCAACAACTTTAGCCTCTTGTGTCGTTTTGGAATCGGAGGAAACAGAGGACTCCAGTAATGAACATTTGTTACATCTTCTTCCAATGAAGGCAACAGAATCATTCACAGATGTCAAGGTAAATCATTCACTGTCATCAGATCAGCTTGAAAACATTAATGATGTTTTACATGAATTTCAGGAAGTTTTAACAGATCTACCTGGTAGAACGAATGTTATCCAGCATGAAGTTCATCTCACTACCAAAGAACCAATCAGAAACAGACCATATCAGATACCGTATGCAGTCAGAAGTGCAGTCCGAGAAGAAATACAGCATATGATTGACATGGATATCATCGAACCATCAGAATCACCGTATGCTAGTTCGATTGTCGTGGCAAAGAAGTCCGATGGTAGCCAGAGAATATGTGTGGATTTTCGTAACTTGAACAAGGTAACGATTTTTGATGCAGAACCAATGCCAGATCCAGATGAAATCATGACTAAAATAAGCAATAGTCGTTTCTTTTCTAAACTTGATTTATGTAAGGGTTATTGGCAGATTCCAATGAGAGAAGAAGACAGAGATTTAACATCATTTTTAACACCAGATGGTTTGTACAGATTTAAAGTAATGCCCTTCGGTATGAAAAATAGCCAAGCTACTTTTAATAGACTCATGCGGAAAATTCTAAAAGGTTTAGAGCATACTGATAGTTTTGTTGATGACATTCTCATTCATACAGAAACTTTTGAAGAACATATTACAGAACTGAGAAAAGTGCTGGAGAGACTACAGAGAGCACAATTAACAGCAAAACCATCAAAATGTGAGCTAGCACAGACGAGACTAGAGTACTTGGGTCATGTTATTGGAGGAGGAACCTTACAGCCAACCAACAAGAAGATGAGAGCTATCCAAGAAGCACCAAGGCCAGAGACAAAGAAGCAGGTTAGATCTTTCCTTGGTTTGATTGGCTATTATAGAAAATTTGTGCCAAACTTTTCCACTATTGCTGCTCCTTTAACTGACTTAACCAAGAAAGGTGTTCCAAACAAATTTGACTGGAAACAAGAACATGATAATTCATTTAAGAGTTTAAAATCCATGTTGCTATACAGCCCAATTCTCAGATTACCAGATTTGACGAAGCCATTCATCTTAAGAACTGATGCATCTAATCATGGAGTTGGTGCAGTGCTGATGCAGAAGCATGATGGACGTACATTTCCAGTTGTGTACGCAAGCCGGAAGCTGCTAGACAGAGAACAACGTTATTCGGTTGTGGAGAAAGAGTGTCTTGCAGTCGTATGGGCTATACAGAAATTTCAGTCTTACTTGTATGGTAGAGCGTTTGTTGTGGAGACAGATCATAGACCACTACTACATTTACAAAAGACTAAAGCTTCAAACGGCAGATTGATGTGATGGTCTCTTTTTCTACAAGCGTTCAACTTTAGAACTGAAGTTATTAGAGGTGAAGATAATATAGTAGCTGATTTTCTCAGTCGTGTTGTTCCTGAGTAAGTTCGTGTTCATAAAGACTTTGTTGTGTACATAGTTTTTCATTTATTTCACAAAATTTCATTTTGTGTCTTAAGAAGGGAGGTATTGTCACAAGTGACATTGTGTCAATGTTTATATTAGCTTATTGTACAGGGATTGGTAAGAGTTATCTTTATTTTGGCATTAGGAGTTATCGTTTATTTCATTTACGCACTATTGGTCACTGAGTTGTATTTGTTCTATTTTTATCAACGTATACTTGTCGAACCCGTTTGAGTAGTTTGGTCAGTTATTTATACTGGGTGTTGGCTAGTGTTTGTCAGATGAGGTCTGGACGCCGGGAGTTATACTTTACCCATGCTGAGTGATCGTGGGTGTGCCTTTTATGTTACCCATGCTGTGTGAACTTGGGTGTGTTCTAGCTGTTTCCCCTGCTGTGTGATCTTGGGATTCAGGGATGTTTTGTAGCAATGTTGAGAGCAAGACCTGGGGGCCGACAGTATGATTTTTATGTGTAAAATGCCACAGCTCAGTAAGTTTTTACACTTTGCAATATTTTTGTTGTTAGCTTTAAAGATAATTTTCTATGTAAAACTGTAAGCAATATACGAGGATATTTGTCTAATTCATTTACTTGTTAAACGGCAAATACATGTTTTCTTTCGTTATTTGTTTGTAAAATCTAGTATATTGAACAGATATGTGTTTCGAACATTTTATTAGAAAACCCTATGAAAATTGTAGGTGACCAAAATTGTATATTAAGCTTTTGTTCTGGACGGGAGGATTGGTGTACATGGTGAGGATACTTTTGGGATATGGTGGATATGGTGGACATACATTGGACGTGGTGTGAAGTGTGAATCTGTCCAGTGATGACCATGATTGAACTTTTGGCCGATTTGATATTTATTGTACATATGTAGATAAATTTATTGTTAATTTTTATAAATCTTGTTGTTTCTTGGTATACAGGAGGTCTTACAAAATATTATGTATTTTGGTTGTTAATACGAATTTAAAGAACCCATCACAACTTGAGGTCAGTTGTGACATTTTTGGTGGCAGCGGTGGGATAGACTTCCTGTTACCAAGTATACCTGCATTATTTTCACGTTTTGTAGAAAATGCTTTAGTTGAAAAAGATTTCTATTGTTTGAATTATTTTTTTTTCGCAGGTTTTGTACAAACTATTTTTTTTTCATATGCATTTTGTTATTTTCTTATTTTCACATTTGTTTTTTTTTTTTTTTTTTGTTGTGTTGCATTTTGTAACAATGGAGTATGTACAATTAGGAGAAAAGTTAGGTTTGCAAGGAACTGAGTTACAAGAGTTTGTTGACAGAAAAGAGAGAGAATATTTTGAAAGGATGGAAAGGGCAGCAGAGAGAGAAGCGAGAAAGATTGAGAGCGAAATTGAATTAGAAAAACTTAAGAAAGAAACTGAATTACAAAAATTAAAAGCTGGAGAATTAGCTGTAGGTCCATTAGGTCTTGCTTCTCAATCGCTTGCTAAGTTGCCAAAGTTACCTCCGTTTGATGAATCTAAAGATTGTATTGATTCATATTTACAGAGATTCGAAAGGTTTGCTTCGTGTGCTAAGTGGGAACAGTCTTCATGGGCGATTAATCTTAGTGCTCTCCTGAAAGGTAAAGCTCTTGAGGTGTATTCTAGACTTCCAGTTTCAGAGGCTCTGAACTATGGTTCCTTGAAACAGGCGTTGTTAAGGCGTTTTCAACTGACAGAAGAGGGGTTTCGTGTCAAGTTCCGTTCCAGCAGACCAGAACAGGGTGAGAATCCTTCACAATTCTTTGCTAGGCTGAACAATTATGTAGAGAAATGGTTGTCTTTAGCAGATAGTCCTAAAGCATATGACGGTCTTAAAGATTTATGTTTAAGAGAACAGTTTTTAAACAGTTGTAGTAAGCAGTTGGGAATGTATCTTAAAGAAAGACATCCGAAAAACGTAGAAGAAATGTCAAATCTCGCAGACCAATTTATTGAAGCCCATGGTTATACTTCATTCACTAAAGACTTACAAGTTTTTCAGAGGCAACCTCAAGTATTTCCAGTATTCAGGGTAACAGCAGTGGATCCTTTCAAAAGCAACAGGCGTACCAAGGATCACCACAGCAAAATGGTGAGAGAAAATGTTACATCTGTGGGAAAAGTGGTCATTTGGCAAGAAACTGTTTCTCCAAGCAGAAAATTCCTCGTGCAGTACCTACTTCACACAATACTCAAAAGGCTGCGATGTTACAGAATCAACATAACTGTGAGTTGAATTGCATAAAATCTAATGACAATTCTAGTTCCAACTTACAGAATTCTGCTGAAGTCAAGACGGACAATGCTATATCGCATCAAAATCAGCCTCACATAGGATCAGCATGCATTCTCAAACATAAACTGTTGCAGTGTTGTGTCACAGATGGACTTGTAAAACTTGCGTGTGGACACATATTACCTGTTATTGGAGGCGTCTGCAAGGTTTGTGAAAAGATGCCCGTTGCTATGGGTTATGTCGGTGAGAACTTTGTTAAAGTATTAAGAGACTCAGGTTGTAGTGGTGTTGTGAAGAGAGATTTGGTTACAGATGATCAGCTGACTGGGCAAGTGCAGAAATGTGTTTTGATAGACGGTACAGTTCGTACAGTAGAGGAGGCTTCCGTCTATGTCGACACTCCCTATTTCACAGGTAATATCAATGCTCTATGTATGAAAGAACCTGTTTACGATCTTATTATAGGTAACATCGATTGTGCCAAAAATCAGACGGATCCTGATCCACAGTGGTGTAGAAAGGACGAAAGAGAAGAGTGTAGTCAAGTTCTTCAAGCAGTACAGACAAGGAATCAAAAGAAAAAAGAAGAGAAAGGTATGAAAAAGCTAAGAGTTACAGATTTAGTGGATACTGATATGACAATTGATCAGATGAAACAACTGCAGATGGATGATTCTTCCTTGAAAGTGTATCGTGAGCATGCAGCGACTGGCAGAAAGAAGAACATTGGTGAAAATATAGAGACATGGTTTAGTGTTGAAAGAGGACTGTTGTACAGACATCATTATTCAAAAAAGGTTAGTGATGATGAACTGTATAAACAACTTGTTGTTCCAGAATCTTTGCGACAGAAAGTTATGAAGATTGCGCACGACAGTATCCTAGGCGGACATCTTGGTACAAAGAAGACTCTAGACCGCATCATGTCGAATTTCTATTGGCCTGGAATCCAGGGTGACGTGACAAGATATTGCCAATCATGTGACATATGCCAAAGAACATTTCCTAAAGGCAAAGTGACGAAGTTGCCGTTGGAGAAAATGCCACTTATTGATACACCATTTGAACGAGTAGCCGTAGATTTGGTAGGTCCGCTTTCTCCAATTACTGACAAAGGCAATAGATATATTTTGACTGTTGTAGATTACAGTACTAGGTATCCAGAGGCGGTTGCATTGAAGAACATCGATACAGAGACGGTGGCAGAAGCGTTGGTAGAGATATTCAGCAGAGTCGGCATTCCAAAAGAAGTTCTGTCGGACATGGGTACGCAATTTACCTCCAACATCATGAAAGAGGTGGGTCGACTTTTATCATTTAAGCAATTAGTAACAACTCCATACCATCCAGCATGTAATGGACTAGTAGAAAAGTTCAATGGTACTTTGAAGTCAATGTTAAGGAAAATGAGTTCTGAAAGACCAAAAGACTGGGATAGATATTTACCAGCATTGTTATTTGCTTATCGAGAAGTTCCACAAGAAAGCACTAAATTTTCTCCATTTGATCTAGTTTATGCACGTAATTTTAGGGGACCTATGGCAGTTTTGAAAGAACTGTGGACAAAGGAGGAGAAGGATCCGGAAGTGAAAACTACTTACCAGTATGTGCTTGACCTGAAGGAGCGATTGGCAAGAACGTGTGAGCTGGCTCAGAGAGAACTTCAGAAGTCCAAAGACCATTACAAAAAACATTATGATAAAAGGACAAAGCCGAGATCTTTCAAGGTTGGTGATTTCGTTCTTCTCTTGCTTCCAACAGACCATAACAAACTTTTAATGCAGTGGAAAGGACCTTTCAAAGTAGTTGATAGAAAAGGACAAACTGATTACCAGATAGATATGAATGGACATATTCGTTTGTTTCATGCAAATTTATTGAAGAAATACAATGTTCGAGAGGAAAGGAATACAGACTCGCCAACAACTTTAGCCTCTTGTGTCGTTTTGGAATCGGAGGAAACAGAGGACTCAAGTAATGAACATTTGTTACATATTCTTCCAATGAAGGCAACAGAATCATTCACAGATGTTAAGGTAAATCATTCACTGTCATCAGATCAGCTTGAATCCATTAATGATGTCTTACATGAATTTCAGGAAGTTTTAACAGATCTACCTGGTAGAACGAATGTTATCCAGCATGAAGTTCATCTCACTACCAAAGAACCAATCAGAAACAGACCATATCAGATACCGTATGCAGTCAGAAGTGCAGTCCGAGAAGAAATACAGCATATGATTGACATGGATATCATCGAACCATCAGAATCACCGTATGCTAGTTCGATTGTCGTGGCAAAGAAGTCCGATGGTAGCCAGAGAATATGTGTGGATTTTCGTAACTTGAATAAGGTAACGATTTTTGATCCAGAACCAATGCCAGATCCAGATGAAATCATGACTAAAATAAGCAATAGTCGTTTCTTTTCTAAACTTGATTTATGTAAGGGTTATTGGCAGATTCCAATGAGAGAAGAAGACAGAGATTTAACATCATTTTTAACACCAGATGGTTTGTACAGATTTAAAGTAATGCCCTTCGGTATGAAAAATAGCCAAGCTACTTTTAATAGACTCATGCGGAAAATTCTAAAAGGTTTAGAGCATACTGATAGTTTTGTTGATGACATTCTCATTCATACAGAAACTTTTGAAGAACATATTACAGAACTGAGAAAAGTGCTGGAGAGACTACAGAGAGCACAATTAACAGCAAAACCCTCAAAATGTGAGATAGCGCAGACGAGACTTGAGTACTTGGGTCATGTTATTGGAGGAGGAACCTTACAGCCAACCAACAAGAAGATGAGAGCTATCCAAGAAGCACCAAGGCCAGAGACAAAGAAGCAGGTTAGATCTTTCCTTGGTTTGATTGGCTATTATAGAAAATTTGTGCCAAACTTTTCCACTATTGCTGCTCCTTTAACTGACTTAACCAAGAAAGGTGTTCCAAACAAATTTGACTGGAAACAAGAACATGATAATTCATTTAAGAGTTTAAAATCCATGTTGCTATACAGCCCAATTCTCAGATTACCAGATTTGACAAAGCCATTCATCTTAAGAACTGGTGCATCTAATCATGGAGTTGGTGCAGTGCTGATGCAGAAGCATGATGGACGTACATTTCCAGTTGCGCATGCAAGCCGGAAGCTGCTAGACAGAGAACAACGTTATTCGGTTGTGGAGAAAGAGTGTCTTGCAGTCGTATGGGCTATACAGAAATTTCAGTCTTACTTGTATGGAAGAGCGTTTGTTGTGGAGACAGATCATAGACCACTACTTCATTTACAAAAGACTAAAGTTTCAAACAGCAGATTGATGAGATGGTCTCTTTTTCTACAAGCGTTCAACTTTAGAACTGAAGTTATTAGAGGTGTAGATAACATTGGAGCTGATTTTCTCAGTCGTGTTGTTCCTGAGTAAGTTCTTGTTCATAAAGACTTTGTTGTGTACATAGTTTTTCATTTATGTCACAAAATTGCATTTTGTGTCTTAAGAAGGGAGGTATTGTCACAAGTGACATTGTGTCAATGTTTAATATTAGCTCATTGTACAGGATTTGGTAAGAGTTATCTTTATTTTGGCATTAGGAGTTATCGTTTATTTCATTTACGCACTATTGGTCACTGAGTTGTATTTGTTCTATTTTTATCAACGTATACTCGTCGAACCCGTTTGAGTAGTTTGGTCAGTTATTTATACTGGGTGTTGGCTAGTGTGTGTCAGATGAGGTCTGGACGCCGTGAGTTATACTTTACCCATGCTTAGTGATCTTGGGTGTGCCTTTATATAACCCATGCTGTGTGAACTTGGGTGTGTTTTAGCTGCTTCCCCTGCTGTGTGATCTTGGGATTCAGGGATGTTTTGTAGCGGCGTTGAGAGCAAGACCTGGGGGCCGACAGTATGGTTTTTATGTATAAAATGCCACAGCTCAGTAAGTTTTTATACTTTACAATATTTTTGTTGTTAGCTTTAAAGAGCAATTTTCTATGTAAAACTGTAAGCAATATAGCGAGAATATATATTTATCTAATTCATTTACTTGTTAAACGGCAAATACATGTTTTCTTTCGTTATTTGTTTGTAAAATCTAGTATATTGAACAGATATGTGTTTCGAACATTTTATTAGAAAACCCTATGAAAATTGTAGGTGACCAAAATTGTATATTAAGCTTTTGTTCTGGACGGGAGGATTGGTGTACATGGTGAGGATACTTTTGAGATATGGTGGACGGAAGGGACAATATGGTGGACCATACATTGCGACGTGGTGTGAAGTGTGAATCTGTCCTGTGATGACCATGATTGAACTTTTGGCCGATTTGATATTTATTGTACATATGTAGATAAATTTATTGTTAATTTTTATAAATCTTGTTGTTTCTTGGTATACAGGAGGTCTTACAAAATATTATTTATTTTGGTTTGTAAATTCTGATTTAACGAATCCATCACAACTTGAGGTCAGTTGTGATAGGTTTAATATGTACCACATTGTTAATCGTTTTATCTGTTATTTTACTTAAAAAGAAAGTTCATATTGTTAACTACAGATAATCATGATAATCACCTAAGACTTAATGCATAACTTAATTTCTGGTTACTGAATAAAGTTTTAAGCACAATCATGCATTTTTCGTATTCACTGAAGGGAGGTTATTAACCGTGATTGCACTTTTCAAACTATCTTTGGCTCAGAAAAGGAATTACAGTATGTGCATGTATGTCTGAAGCCTAGATGTTCAACTTTTGGTATATGAAAAGAACACAATTTTAAATTTAAATTTAAGCATCTCCATAACGTGTGGTTTTAATATACTACTTGTATTCTGACACATTTGGGTGAAGTTTTGATGATGCAAGCTAGAATATGGAGTAATGAAATATTTCATGTCAGGAGAAATAAAAAAACACCTTGTTTTTAAACTTGAAAAGATTGGCCAAGATGGGTCAGGTGAGCGATGTGGCCCATGGGCCTCCTGTTAAAGATTTTTCCGATATATTCCTATGTAAAACCTGGGTCGACCATTTTGGCCCCATCCTAGTCCCGGGGGTATTTTTAAAGATTTTTCCTACATCTTCCAATGTAAAACTTTGATCGGACAATTTGGCCCCACCCTAGTCCCGAGGGTGATGATTTGAACAAACTTGAATCTACACTACCTGTGGATGATTCCATATGAGTTTCATCTTTCCTGGTCCAGTGGTTTTTGAGAAGAAGATTTTTAAAGATTTTTCCTACATATTCTTATGTAAAACTTGGGTCGGCCATTTTGGCCCCACCCTAGCCCCGGGGGTCATGATTTGAACAAACTTGAATCTTCACTATCTGAGGATGATTCCACATGAGTTTCATCTTTCCTGGCCCAGTGGTTCATGAGAAGAAGATTTTTTTTAAAATGCCATTAATATTTCTCTAATTCATAATTATCTCCCCTTGGAAAAGGGCGTGGCCCTTCATTTGAACAAACCTGAATCCCCTTTACCCAAGGATACTTTGTAGCAAGTTTGGTTGAAATCGGCCCAGTGGTTCTTGAGAAGAAGATGAAAATGTGAAAAGTTTACGACAACGACGACGACAACAACGACAGACGACGGACAAATTTTGATCAGAAAAGCTCACTTGAGCCTTCGGCTCAGGTGAGCTAAAAATTAATAGTTCCTACAGAGTATGAGGTAAAAAAATAATTATTTTATTTTAAGTAATCTAAAGTAGATGTCATCGTGTTAGTAATACCTGGTCAGATCAAAGAACAAAGGGTCTAGATCATTTTATGAGATGGTAATGGTGTAATGAAGTTAAACCATCACCTTTTCTAGAAAAAAAAGTATTTCTCAGTATAATCTGGAGTGAGAGAGAGAGAGAGAGTTAGGGTAATTATTACCTGTTGCCTGTCGCTTGTTGACGTATAAATGACGATATCATTTTTGATCGAAGCTGTATATAATAACAAACGCCAATAGACATGGCGGAGTCGCTTGAAGAATCACTGAGTAGAGTTTCCGTCATCAAACACAATAAAGGAGAGACAAATGGGGTCGATATTTTGCCGATGGGAGACAAGAAGTATTCCCTTATTGTTTTTCTCCGGAATTTCGCTTGAATTGCTTGGTAAGAATTAAATAATCTTCTAGATCGGCGGGTGGACATTGTAAACACAAGTACAGGTCTGATCAAAAAGCGTTACAGGCAGTAGAAAACAAGAGTTTGGGGCTCTTTAAGTACTAAGTAGATCTACCTAAAAGATTTTTTTTTAAATCTAGAACTTATATAACCGCCTTCCTAATCTAAGTGGCATTCCCAGCGACTGGATTGATTATGCATATGGGATTTTGCATTAAATTGAAATTTTGAATGTTTTATAAGATAGTATAAATCATGAATTAGTACGGGTACTTTATCAAATTATCAATAGGATTTAATTTGTTCTGAACGTAAATTAAAAAATCATATAAAAAGACGTAACAAAACTTAAGGTGAAGTGCTACAAAGAACTTGTTTTCAAAAGTCATGCATGTAACATCTCAGTACAAATATATTTTTATATACCGGTAAATGAAATAAAACTTATCTTAGAAAGTTTCATATTTTTTTCATTTAGTTTCTGAATAATATGTTCCGTAAATTGTTAAAAATGAATATGTTCATGAGTGATGGCAAAACAAAAGAAGAAATTTGAACAACACGGGAAAGTCTATTTCTTAATTATTCATAGGTTTGTTATATATGCATTATTAACGGCAAGAAAAGTCCAAAAATATTTACACTGTACCTATACATGCATCCATTATTTGATTATCCGTATTATGTGTCATAAATACTCAATACTCATTAATCTTGACTGTACTATACTATGTGTTTAGTATTTAGTATAGAAAATTCCAATCCTTACGTAATCTTTGCCTTTGAGCAGTCAATTAAAGATTCAAGCTATGTCTCCCCTGACAGACGTTTTGGAGAAGCACCAGACAAGGCTTGTGTTTGTCGGATCTTCCACTCGAGAACAGATGGAGGAGTTTGTTCGCAATCCCATAGTTCCTATTTCCGGTGAATTATACACAGACCCCTCTATTTCCTTGTACAAGATCTTCCAGATGAAGAGTGGGCGTTTCCGGTCCCTTGTCATGCCTCTATGGCACGGCGCCAAAAGATACGGCTTTAGTGGTGTAATGGAGGGTAAGTGAATATTTTGAATCTCTCCTGGTCTCTCAATGAAGAATAATTATAAAGGAATAAAATACCTTTGTTTTTGTAGGTCTCAGACTAGGAATGGAAACTTCGCATCTGGCAGGGGATTCTTGGATTCAAGGGGGCACCGTACTGCTGGACCAGAGAGGAAATACGTTATTTCAGGTTTTAAAGCTTCTCTCTCTCTCTCTCTCTCTCTCTCTCTCTCAGTAACTTTGTTCTTATTTGGTGACACAAAGTTGCAAAATGAATTACTGAGCAATATATTTGCATGACCTTTTAAAAACAAATAATTTTGTTAATGAACTCTTTTAGCACCAAGAGAATCATCCGGCTGACTGGCCAGAACTTACCGAGGTGTTACGAACGGTGGGCATCACTGAAGACAATGTAGATTACGACAAAGCAGTATCCGAATGGATTGCAGCTCGACAAAACGCGCGGAAATAAGTAGTTTACAGGTTTATTTTTCTGCCAGAAAGTATGATGAACTTTTGGTAACCGCTTAAGACGAGCGACCGAGAGTTCTGAGTAAACAATACAGCAGAAAAATGAAAATGAACATTTTTAGTGAAAAGTTTTATATTTACATGAAAAAAATCTGAACTTTTTGATGTTACTTGTACTTAAATAATTTTTTTTTTATCTGCGAATGACTTTTTTGATTGATTATTTGGCATATATAACGCTAGCTTTAACCTGATTCAGATAATGTGGGTTGAGGCGATGTGATTTTTTTTTCACATGAGCTAGCATGTAGGAGCTAAGCAATATTTCTGATATTTTAAAAAAAAACTTTTTTTTCATATGAGCTTTTTTAAGTTTAAATATTTTTACTTTAAAATTAAAAAAAACCGTCATGCATCAATTCAGCCAATTGGGTAAGGCCTACCCATTCAATTCTCAAAGCCACTTGTTCATACAGGGATTTCTCTCATTCCTATAATCCTCTCGCAATGGAGTTCGTAACGCTATCGTGTGTGTTTGTTTGTAGTGGAGTGAGATAAGTCTGTGTAACGCTATCGTGTGTGTTTGTTTGTAGTGGAGTGAGATAAGTCTGTGTAACGCTATCGTGTGTGTTTGTTTGTAGTGGAGTGAGATAAGTCTGTGTAACGCTATCGTGTGTGTTTGTTTGTGGGTGGGGGTGAGTTAAGTCTGTGCAAAACGGAAGTGAAGAAATTTGCAGCAGGATAGATGTCGGATACTATTATGCTCTTTGCGAGTGGATGATCCGATTTGCTGTGCCTTTGTTTAAGACAAGGCTATGGAAAGGTATTTTCAGTTATGAAAAGAAAAGATGTACTCAGATGAAATTGTATATTTAATAATAAAAATTTAAAATGTTGTATGGGAATCTTAAAAATAGATACACATACAAAGAACAACTAAGCAATTGTGAAATGGTTATAATTAATATTGTGAATCACTACAACCTTGTTAAAATGTTTCACAGGATTAATATGGTTTACATAATGTCAGTGGTGAACGATAAACATCGTCATATTAATCTCCTCAATAAAATGGAATTATAATAAAAATGTCGACGACTATATATACCATAATTTATATATTACTAGGTACGTTATATTCGTACAAATAACGGGAACAGATAATGATTGCAATTATTAAAACAGTTGTCTTCTTATCAGACTTATGATCGGTTAGAATGCAGTAACGCTCAACTTTATACAGACCAACTAAGCCACAACGGCGGGTTTTAAGATTTTCATAGAAATCCGTGGCAACATTTAGCGCTCCATGCCCTTTTTTACATTCACATATCGACCATAGAACTTATGAAAAGATGATTTTTAACGAGACTGCTAATATAATTGTTACAGCAACTTGTTTGTCAATATCAAAATTACTTTGTTTTAAAGAATTATTCATACGTAGAGCATGTTCTTGCATATCGAATCAACTGAGAGATATAGATCTCGTATGCAGCTGATGATGGTATATTGCTGCATAAGTAAGGAAAGTTGACGATTGACAGATGTGTCGGTCCTCTGTAGTATTCTTTATATCAAGGTCATCGGGATATATCAATTGACATAAGAATATCTAAATGTCGAGTCGAAAGTCACAATAAATATTTTCTTTTTTACACGTATAAGATTTTGGGCATGTTCTGCTTCATATGAATACAATAAAAATAGGTCTGATAATAATAACGGGGCGAAATTGGTACCCATGAGAGTTCCAATCGACTGTCAGAAAATCTGGTCTCCAAAACCACATACATATTGTCAATCAGAAACTCAAGTATCTCCTTAATAACAATTTCAGAGTACATGTACTTGTGTGTACAATCAGAATGTTTTTAATAAAAAAAGTTCAATTACTTACTCACATACTTAATTTTTCAATACAGAAACGCTTTCTGTGGCTGAAGACACTTAAATGTCCCACACTTTTTTATCTTTTGATATTTTTTATTTAGATTTACAACAGCGTAACGTTGGTTGACATTCAGAATAATCCCTTTAAACCCTAAATTTGATAAATCCGATCTAATAATAGATTTCTTGGATCTTCTATCATAAATTCCCAAAAGATCGCTAAATTTTTTATGAGGAAAGGAGGTACGTATAACTTGAACGTCATCTAATTTAATGATGTCCTAAAAAAGATTTAAGAATTGTTTATTATTTATTAATTTATTGTTTAACATATAAATCGAAAGTACCTTTACAAAAGTAATTTACTCCAGTTGTATATTATTATATATTATATATATTTATATGAATTATATATTTTTTAATAAAGCTCAAAAAAGAATTTCAGACGTGTAAAGTATTCTACATTATATAAGCTTGGCTTTGGATATTGACATCTAATTCAATACGAAAGATTTTTGTACTTTCATTTTCATTCTGAATTAATTATTCATATTGGCTATCGATTAGCTTGAATCGATCTTATCTTAAATTAGAAAAATGCTCTGTTAACATCCCCACCCCCACCCTTATCGAAAAAAGATTAAAAATATTTCACATTGCAAACCAAGAGGACGTTGCGCCACAAGGCTCACTTGAGTCACAAAAAATATGAAAATAAGTGAAACTTTATTATGAAAAATTATCGAGAGACGTTAAACACCAAGCAAGGAACAGCTGGGCCATAGTGACTCAGGTTAGTGTTTTGGTTCATGGGAAATCTTGTAGATTTTAGAAAAAAGGATAGATACTAGAAAAAGGATAGATAGACCTGGGAACTTTGGTCAACGAGGTGACCAGAAAAGCTCTCGAGCTCATAGCTCAGTTAAACTAAAATCTAACATTCAGGTGACACAGTTATGAAAAAGAAAATTCATTTATTATGAGATTTAGTTGTTGCAGAACTTATAGAACTAATGATCATCTATAGGAACTTTATCAACACCTTCGATATAAAAATGTCGAACGGACTGGAATTTTTACTTCGATTCATTCTAGAGTTTTAACTCCACAATGGCGGCAGACGATCACTTGATAGTGGCAGCTATCGATTTTGGAACCACATTTTCTGGTTATGCCTTCTCGTTCTTGCATGAATACCAGAAGGATCCTACGAAGTGTTCCACCTTTACCTGGACAGCGGGAAGCGGGGGCCTCCAATCACTGAAAACTTCCAGCTGTGTCCTGTTTGACAAGCATGGAAATTTCCATTCTTGTGGATTCGAGGCTGAGGACAAATATTCCGAACTTGCTCTGGACGATAAGCATCATGACTGGCTGTTCTTTAAGCGATTCAAGATGAATCTTTACAAACAAATTGTAAGTTTTAAATGAAAATCTACTTCGTTTGTATACAAATATAGGTCTGCTAAAAACGGGGCACACTTGGTAACCATGGGATTTCCAATACATTGTTGGAAGACCTGGTCTCCAAAAACAACATAGATATTGTCAATCAGAAACTCAAACATCTTTTCGATGTCAACTTCGGAGTACTTGTGTTTACGATCAGAGTGCTTTTTAACAAAATAATTTTGCAAATGTTCAACGACAAGGTAAGTAAATTTACTATACATTTTTATTATCAACTGTCAATGATATCAAAAAGACTGGACTTTAATTTATCGTGTGGAATGGTTGTGTATAGAGTTGAAAAGTCGTAAGTTTTTAGGCAGTTGGTTTTGGTAAAATCTTGGGATTTCAAATTTTCCAAAAGTTTCTTTGAATTCTTAAGTATAAACATCGGATTTACACCACTTGTAGAATATACTGTTGCACAGTACTCTTGAAGTTTTTCCATCACTACTATTATTATCCTAGTGAGGAGAAAAGCAAGCGGCTTGGCTGAGCATTTACTGGAAACCGCTATGTATCTTTGTTTGTAGGGATATTTATGAAGTTTCGGAATCCATTACAGATGTGGTAAATCAATTTCCTTTTGGTTGTTTGTAATATTAAAATTATTTAAAACTGACACATTATTTTGAAGAATTTCTTCCTTAGAAAGGGAACTATGAGTATAAGTTGGATTACCACTAAAATAAAATTCTTACAAACAAAGACAATGTTGATACCTGCTTTGTCTCCAGGGACTAGTATGTACTGATCGTGAAATCGATCTAATTCTTTTTTTCACTTCTGGATTATTGAATACAGAAGGATAGATGGTTTTCATATTGCCCCTCAATCTTGTAATGCGCGATCGAAAAGACTTGCAAATATACACTATTTCAACTCGATGGATAAAGCAATACTACGAGGGGGTATCACAAAGTTCGTGGACTTGCGCAATAAAATTAAAACCGCTTTAGGTACACTAATGAATTTTAAAATATCTAGTTAGCATCATCTTTACTATCTATAGAATAAACCACAGATCATAAATTTCCTTTTTTAATAAATTAGTAATGTTTTTGTAAGCAATGTCCAGGCGGCGCAACCTCGAACACGACGTTTTTTCGACCTAAGTATAATACGTATAATTTAAACATGTTAAATAGATTGAAATAACAACTTTGAAGTTTTGTTGTAGGGAATCAGGAGAGATTTTAAGCTGGAAGCTGATAATGGTAAACAAATGGATGCCATGAAAGTTTTTTCCAAAGTTATTGAACATTTAAAAGATCACCTTGTAGAGAAATGTAAGAGTCAGCAAACCTCGCTGGATGAAGACGACATTCTCTTTGTGATAACTGTTCCCGCCATTTGGACTGACCCTGCCAAGCAGTTTATGAGGGAAGCAGCCGAGATGGTAAACCTCTTTCTTTACTCCTCTTTAAAAATATTAACAGCAGTAAACGAGTAACTTTAGGAGCAATATACAGCAATATATCAAGGAGTGGAGTAAATCAGATAAAGAATTAAAATTCCAAGGAACGTATAAAAAATTCTAAATCACAAAATTTGCCAAAATCCTTAGCATCAAAATGTACAACTTTTCAACCATTTTCCATGATAATTGAAAGTCAAGGCTGCTTTTTGACATCAAAGACAGATGCTTTTCACTTAAAATAGACTCACTTGAATTTACTTACCTTTTCATTGGTCATTTGCGAAAATTAATTTTTTGTAAACTACAATCTGCATGATTGAACACAGAAGTACGTGCTTTGAAGATCTTAAAAAGTTGCATAGATTCTGATTGATAATGTATATGTACTTCTTGGAGATTAGGTCCTCAAACAATCTGTGGGAATTTCATGGGTACTTATTACACCCCGTTATTGAAAGACCCGTTTTTGTTTTCATATGAAGCAGAATTTGTTCGGAAACATAAACATGAAAAGAAGACACTTGGTGTTGCCTTCAACTCGACTTTTCGATATAGCGACGGCGAATTATCAACTAACGATATGGTCGATACAATGACTTTGTCAGCAAATACAATCTTTCATTAAGTCAATTCAGGCTGACGTTCCTTTTAATACTTTTTAGGTAAAAAAAACTGGATTGTCCATATTTTTTCCGTTTACCCGATCATAACAATGAGCACACGACGGGTGTGACTGGTCGATAAGGGTGCTTACTCATTCAAGGCCCCTGATCCCATCTCTGATCATTTACAGAAATTTGTCCTGCTCCTGATTTGTACTGTTTCAATGGATTTTTGAGTTTGATTTTTGTTCATTATCTCGATATTTCAATTCTGTTTCCCTGATCAATACAGAGGGCTCATGGCGGGTGCGATCGGGGATGTTAACTCCTCCGAGGCTCCTGATCCCACCTCTGGAATTTCCAGGGGTCCATGTTTTATGCCCTCTTCATATATTTGCAGTGTTTACAGACTTTTTTGAGATTGACAACTATCCATTAACTTGATCCTTTACATTTAGGCTGGAATCGATGAAAATAATTTGATGATAGCACTGGAGCCAGAGGCTGCTTCCCTCTTTTGTAAACATGTGCCCATAGAAAAAATGACAGGATCTTCTGGAAAAGGATTCAACGCTTTCTCGCCAGGTTCGGCATACATTGTACTTGATGCTGGAGGTAAATCAAACATGTCTATTCTTTTCCTTTCTTTGTAGCGTCTGAAAAGCTGCATTTTGTACAGGAAACAAGTAAGTATGTATATTCCAATGTACTTTTTTTTTTTACAGGCGGAACTATTGATATAACAGTACATCAGGTGCAGCAAAATGGCACCCTAAAAGAAATTCACAAGGCAAATGGGGGAGACTGGGGTGGAACAAAAGTTGATGAAGCATTCACAGCACTACTAGAGGACATTGTTGGAAAGAAAGTTATGGAAAAATTTTGTAGGGATAACAAATACGACATGCTGGAACTTTATAGAAATTTTGAAGTAAAAAAACGCACGATTACCCCAGACTCGGACGAAAAAATAACATTTAAGGTGCCAATTAGTTTGAATGAAACTTTTAAGGCTGCAAACAAGTGTGAAATCAAGGATATTTTGAAGATAAATCAAAAATACAAAGATCAAATAAATTGGATTGGAGACAAACTCAGAATGAGTGCAAACATCGCTAAAGGTCTTTTCAGCAATTCGGTGGATCAAATCGTTGAGCATCTAAAAAATCTTACACAGATTCCGGCAGTCCAAAAAGCAAAGTATATTCTAATGGTAGGCGGTTACTCGGAATCGCCAATGCTTCGTGATGCAGTAATTGCAACTTTCAAAAATAAAAAAGTCATCGTTCCAAACGAGGCTGGATTATCGGTTTTAAAGGGTGCTGTAATATTTGGCCACAAACCGTCCACCATTCAATACAGAATAAGCAAATACACTTATGGTATTGAAACAACGGTTGAATTTGACGAGGACGAGCATGATTGGTCCAGACGAATTGAAACTAGTACTGGAGATGTGTTGTGTAGGGGAGTATTTGATAAACACGTCGAAATCAACCAACAAATTGAAGCTGGAATCCCGCAAGTAGAAAGAACATATCATGTCACGGAACCAGACCAAACAATAATGACATTCCAAGTTTATATTTCAAAAGACCCAGATCCAATGTTTGTCGATAAGGAACTTGACGATGACAGCAGCGATGACTCGGATGACGAGGATTGGTTTGACGAGGATGACGAATGCATTTACCTCGGTGAACTAGAAGTCAACGTCCCAGGCCATGGCTTAGAGCGATCAGCAACAGTTGCAATGACATTTAGCGGCACAGAACTCAAGGTCGAAGCCAAAAATGAAGACGGGGAATACACTGAAGCGTCGTTTGATTTGTTGGAATAAAGATTTTGAAGTCAACAAGAACCTTATTTTTCTGTCATCAACAAAAACAAGTTTAAACTCTTTGTTTTCCTTTTATGTGAATATTTTAAAATTTTAATTGTACTCAGTGTTAATGTCCTGGATTTGCAAATAATCTTTTTAATTTCTTATCTTAATTGAATATATTCTGAAATAAATAGTCATCATTATGATTTTTCTGTTCTATGAATTAACTTACCTCTACTATAAGAGGTTGAAAGTCCTGAATACGGAAGTTTTCTTGAAAACAGGCCGATAATCTATCCAAGAGAGTACATTTTTATTTTCTTATCTCAATATAAAGTCATCTAACTAGTGTCAAACGGATCATTCGAAGACAAAATGTCCATGACTCTACGCCGCTTTATCTTAACAGCAGGTTTGTTATGTCTGGAAACGTAGATTTGGCTTTCCAATAAATTCCGATTTTATTTGACATTTTTAAATTCCAGCAGCTTCTTTTTCTTATCATTTTTATGTCTATTTTCAGGATTCCTGGTGTCCTGTTGTAGTTCATCATTAATAGAAAAGAGGGGTGAGTGCTCAGTTTAATGGAAATTTCTAGATAAATCAGTTCAACCCTTCTTTATGTAAGATGATCATTTTGGTTAATTCAATCACAGTAAGCCAGGGAGTCATTTCTCTATTTTCTTTTTATTTCAGCCTCAAAATCCTGTTATGAATGTAACAATATAGCCGATCCCTCCCAGTGTACCCGAGTAGTAACATGCCCGGCTAACGAAGTAAGAAAACAAATATCTTAATGATAAACACTGGTTTAAACTAATATGAAAAGAGAAATAGTATCTCATACATTCGCTTACCAATGGATGGAAAAACAGAAATAAACATTGTGAATTACTCAGGAGTGTTTTGATTTAATTAAAAGAAGGATATTGGAGATAACGAACAGTATTCAATCTCAAAGTCCATAAAACAATACAAAATAGGAGCAGAGCAAACACGGACCTCCGAAACATCAGAGGTGGGATCGCTTGCCATGGAGGAGAGAGCATCCCTTGCTGACCGGTCACATCCGCCGTGATATATATTCGTATACTCCTAAAAACAAAGAGATGATGTATTAAACTCCCCATATTTCCTTTAAATACTTCTCAAATATAGCATTTATTGAATGAAAATGCACAAACTTTTAGATATGTGTAAATTATTGATCAGCTTCGATATCTCAAGACACAAACTGTAGCTATATACATGATCAGTCATATTTACTTCTTATTCTTAATTAATCTGAGCTAAGTATCGTTCGTTTTGTAGGAATGTTATACACAATCTCATTCGACATCCTCTATATTCCAATCTACCGTATACTCCATGGGATGTCGATCTACATCGGTAAGTATATTCTTTTTCTTCTGAATTCTTGATCATAATTTAACAAACGGAGTCCTTTTACATACTGAATAAACATTGATTCTGTTGCAGTTGTGCAACGCCCTGTCAGGTGGCGGAGCAGTTGGGAAAAGAAATACCCGACAGCTGAATACACATTGTAACCAGTGCTGTAGAACAAATAACTGTAATAGGAATCTGTGTGGGGGTAAGTAACAAATAACTGTAACAAGAATCTGTGTGAGGGTAAGTAACAAATAACTGTTACAAGAATCTATGTGGAGGTAAGTAACAAATAACTGTAACAGGAATCTATGTGGAGGTAAGTAGCAAATAACAGTAATAGGAATCTCTTAGGGGGTAAGTAGCAAATAACTGTAACAGGAATTTATAAGGGGGTAAGTAGCAAATAACTGTAACAGGAATCTATGTGGGGGTAAGTAACAAATAACTGTAATAGGAATCTATGTGGAGGTAAGTAACAAATAACTGTAACAGGAATCTATGTGGAGGTAAATAACAAATAACTGTAACAGGAATCTATGTGGAGGTAAGTAACAAATAACTGTAACAGGAATCTATGTGGAGGTAAATAACAAATAACTGTAACAGGAATCTATGTGGAGGTAAGTAACAAATAACTGTTACAAGAATCTATGTGGAGGTAAGTAACAAATATCTGTAACAGGAATCTATGTGGAGGTAAGTAACAAATAACTGTAACAGGAATCTATGTGGAGGTAAGTAACAAATAACTGTTACAAGAATCTATGTGGAGGTAAGTAACAAATAACTGTAACAGGAATCTATGTGGAGGTAAGTAGCAAATAACATTAACAGGAATCTCTTAGGAGGTAAGTAGCAAATAACTGTAACAGGAATTTATAAGGGGGTAAGTAGCAAATAACTGTAACAGGAATCTATGTTGGGGTAAGTAACAAATAACTGTAATAGGAATCTATATGGAGGTAAGTAACAAATAACTGTAACAGGAATCAATGTGGAGGTAAGTAACAAATAACTGTAACAGGAATTTATGTGGAGGTAAGTAACAAATAACTGTTACAAGAATCTATGTGGAGGTAAGTAACAAATAACTGTAACAGAAATCTATGTGGAGGTAAGTAGCAAATAACAGTAACAGGAATCTCTTAGGGGGTAAGTAGCAAATAACTGTAACAGGAATCTATTAGGGGGTAAGTAGCAAATAATTGTAATAGGAATCTATTAGGGGGTAAGTAGCAAATAACTGTAACAGGAATCTATTAGGGGGTAAGTAGCAAATAAATGTCACAGGAATCTATTTCAGGGTAAGTAACAAATTACTGTAATAGGAATCTATTAGGGGGTAAGTAGCAAGTAACAGGAATCTCTTAGGGGGTAAGTAGCAAATAACTGTAACAGGAATCTATTAGGGGGGTAAGTATCAAATAACTGTAACAGGAATTGATTAGGGGGTAAGTAACAAATAACTGTAATAAGAATCTATTAGGGGGTAAGTAGCAAATAACTGTAACAGGAATCTATTTGAGGGTAAGTAACAAATTACTGTAACAGGAATCTTTCAAGGGGTAAGTAACAAAAAACTGAAACAGGAATCTATGTGGAGGTAACAAATAACTGTAACAGGAATTTATTAGGGGTTAAGTAGCAAATAACTGTAACAGGAATCTATGTGGGGGTAAGTAGCAAATAACTGTAATAGGAATCTATTTGGGGGTACGTAACAAATAATTGTAACAGGAATCTATTTGGGGGTAAGTAACAAAAACTGTAACAGGAATCTATGTAGGGGTAAGTAACAAATAACTGAAATAGGAATATATGTGGAGGTATCAAATAACTGTAACAGGAATATGTATGGAGGTATCAAATAACTGTAACAGGAATCTATTTGGAGGTATCAAATAACTGTAACAGGAATCTATTTGGAGGTATCAAATAACTGTAACAGGAATCTATTTGGAGGTATCAAATAACTGTAACAGGAATCTATTTGGAGGTATCAAATAACTGTAACAGGAATCTATGTGGGGGCAAGTAACAAATAACTGTAACAGGAATCTATGTGGAGGTAATTAACAAATAACTGTACCAAGAATGTGGGGGTAAGTAACAAATAACTGTAACAGGAATCTATTTGGGGATAAATAACAAATAACTGTAACAATAATATATGTTGGGGTAAGTAACAAATAACTGTAATAGGAATTTATTTAGGGATAAGTAGCAAATAACTTTAACGAGAAAATATTTGGGGGTAAGTAACGATAACTGTAACAGGAATCTGTTTGGAGATAGGTATTAAATTACTGCAACAAAAATCTATGTGGGGGTTGGTAACAAATAACTGTAACAGAATCTTCGTACAGTTAAGTATAGAATGAAATATATGGAGATACGAACAGTTTTCAAGCTCAAAGTCCATTAAACAATAGAAAATAGGAGCACAGCTAACATGGACCTCCAAAACTCGGAGGTGGGATAAGGAGCCATGGAGGAGTGAACATCCCCTGCAGACCGGTCGCACCCGCCGTTTGCTCTTTGTCATGATCGGAAAATACAGAAAAATCCGTCGACAATTCTGTTGAGTATATGTACTGGTAAACAGCCAAATCTGCAATGGTGCGTTTGGCATTAAGTTATCGAAATGTCAAAAGTCGTTCGTTTGCGTAATGTTCAATGACATCGATTTAGTGCAGTGCCTGTGACATTGATGGTTAAAGTACACTTCTACAATACCTTAGCTTATCTATGATGTAAATTTAAAATAGAAATTTCTTATGCAAGACCAAAACCTACAGTAAAACACATTTCTTAACTATGTAGAGTAAATAAATATTTTTTTCAAACTCGAGATCCTTATTTGTGCTGAGTGTCTTGACAGTTGAAAAAATAGGAAAGAGGTCGATAAAAATACCAGTGTTAATGGAATAGACGAGGGTAGGTAGGATCAAGTGCCTAGGATGAGTAAGCATCCCCCGTCGAGATCCAACGAATGCATTATTGATTCTTTCGTTATCTTGCAAAACTAATTATTAATTCAAATACCTAAAATTGGCTTCGGATCATGGACTAATCAAATTCAGTGCGGGTCATGACAAACTATCAATAAATCAATATAGTTACCTAGGATATAGCAAAATGATTTGGAGGTTCCAATCACATTTTCTTAAGTAATTTTAGTTTTGATAACTCGGAACTTGTGTCAGTATGAGGTCACGTGGTTTGACTGTCAGTGATTTTTATCTGCTACTTGTCGTTGATATGTAATAACCGTAATCTCTGTACAATGTCTGTCTACACAAGGAAAATAAAGTCATTTCATATCTCATAGGGTCAGGCACCACCAATCCAACTGTGTCCACCTCTAGTCCCACGTACGTTCGTTTGATTGGGGGATCCAATGCTTATGAGGGACGTGTTGAAGTTTTCCATAATGGAATATTCGGTTCAATTTGCGATGATGGCTGGGGTGGAAGCGAAGCCCAGGTTATCTGTGGTATGCTGGGATATAGCAGGTACCTTATGACGAAGTTGATTAATTTTCTGTAGTTTATTCCCAAGTTCTCGTATAAAAATCTCTAGAATAACTATTACAATGCTCAACTTTGGCTAAAATTGCTCTTAGTCTGTAGATAGGTGATTTGATTTCTAGGAGCGGATCTGGTGGCGCACAAGGCACAGTATTCGGTGGAGCCCCACTGTATGCTAAGATATTCATGGACGAAGTGAATTGTACAGGGACAGAAGCAAGCATTGACCAGTGTCACTTCAATGGCTGGGGAGTGCACGACTGTGGACATGACGAAGACGCAGGAGTTATCTGCAACTCAGGTATAGAACATAGGAGTTATGTGTAACTCAGGTATCTGTCACTCAGAAATAAGTATATCAATTCCGACTTCTATGTGGGGACTTCACAATATGTCCTTTATACAGATTATTATGATACGCTACCTCGTAAGAATTACAATAAATATGATTTTTTTTCCTTTTAATCCAATTGTGTTGAAGACCATTATATAACATTTTAAATCCTAAAGATATTTCCCTGGTTTCTTTCGTTTTTAGCTAGTCAAGAGGATAATATCATCTTTCTTCTGGATACTGGTCTTGGTGGAGTGATTTTCAGAATGGACCTGAACACCCAGAGTTATGTGCCCATTCCTATGAACAGTCTGTACACCCCCACAGCTTTTGATTATGACCCCACAGACGGAAGGATCTATTTTGTGGATTACAAACTTAGACAGCTGATGAGCGTACATTTCAGCGGAACTGACGTCAGAGAACTCAAACAATTAGATGCAAGTACGTATCTGATTCATAAAAAGTATAAGTTACAAATGAAACAGTTGTTTAAAAGAAAGATTAGAGTGGGATATGATATTGTTCTGAATTAATCATTTCAAAACTATTTTTATTACCTATACTCATTTTTATTTTTTGTTAAGTGCATAGATTTCTTAAAAAGCTGAGTTGAACAAGCATGACTTCATCTCAAGTAGATTAAAGAATTCTGTTTTTTGGTATCAGATGGTTTGAAGTTTGTAAACTTCAACTGAAATAATTTTATTCCATAATTTTTGTCCTTTTCAGATGCTGATTTAGAGAAAATTCAGGTGGACCCAATCAACCGAAGGCTTTTCTACGCAGACACCGGTAACAATCTTATTGGTACCATTAATTTAGACGGCACCGGATACAAGGTTATCGTGAACCAGGGTCTGGATGAACCACGTGACTTGGCTCTTGTTCCCGCCACACAGTAAGATTGATGACTCTACATTTATTTCAATGTCTGCCAAATCTGTTTATTTTACTAAAGAGACATTAATGGTAAAGTGATTTCCTAGTTGTATAAAGACGATCAAATCACTTTGGATAAAAATAATGAATTAATTTAGAACAATTGATTGGTTATATTACAAAATCAAGGAGCTCTGGAAATCATGGCCTGCACCCAGCTTGGCGGAAACGCGGGAAGAGAGAGATCGATGGGCTCCCGAGCCCGATCCCAATTACAAATTAAAAACACCCCCCAAATACACTACATTCCCCCCATTTTGTGGAGGAATGTCCCAATTCCGACAAAGTGGAGGCCATTTACAATATAGAATAGCACTTTTACACAGAAGATAATTACAGTTAACATCCTATGATTTACAATACACATGAATAATTTAATATAATCCGCAATAAATCGTTTCAATATTAAATGTCCAAATTATGGATAGCTTTTAAACATAGACAGTCCAAATGAACACGAATTCCGGATCCTCTAAAATGGCTGCAGCAGGCGGTATTCACGAACACACCTGCATTCATCATCCCCGGGCTCCGAACACAGGACACCATTAGACAATCTGGACTAGGACAGCAAGCATCAACTTAAAATAAAGGCAAAGAGTCACCTGATAATAGCCCCGCTGTAAGAGCAAGGGGCATGAACCTAACTAGTCTGGTGGAATCGGTTTCTCCAGCCCAGTACAGTGACACCTTGTGGTTGTACACATTGTTTGTCCCTGGACTGCAGAGGTCTGGGGTCTGTTCGGCGCCTCTGACTTGTCCTTACCACTCCCATAAGTCGTTCTGGGCACTCACGACGGAAATGCCCAGGCTGATGGCATTTAGAGCAATGACCTCTCCGGCGCTTTTGCTTGCGTTGCCAGGGGAAATCCTGTCCCCTGCCTTGGGGGACCCTTTGGTCATGCCTACATCCCGACGTAACACCAGAATTTTCCCTCCGTGTCTTCCAATTTCTGGTCTCCGAGGACCCCTTACATGGAGCTTGTGGGGGAGACTTTTTCTCCTCACCTGACGGGGTATTGCCTAATGAGACGGAGCGCACTACTCTGTGATGAGGAGTAAGGGCTCGACGGCTTAGCTGGTAAGTCTTTACTCGCCTCACAGCCTCATCTAAATTAACAGGGGGCTGTCGATCAGCCGTCTGCCTGCGCACACATCCAGACAGCCCATCGCAAACCGCAGGACTGCTTGCTCCTGGAGCACTTGTCCCGGGACCCTTGCCCCTAGAGTATGTTGCGCAGTTTCCATGACCCGGTCACCCCACTGCTCTAGACTCTCATCAGTCCCTTGAGTCATGGAGTTAAACTCCACTTACGACGCAGCCTTCGATGTACCCTTTCCGAACCGTTGCTCGAATCGAAATACTATCTCCTGAAAAGTCGTATGCTCACCCCGTGAGGAGAGCAGGTAGAAATACCTTAGTGCTGGTCCCTCTACGGAGACACTGAGAGCCAAAAGACTATCGTCATCATCCCACCTATAATAGCGAGCCAACGTTCTAAATTTCGCGTAGAACAGACCCCACTCAAGGTCTCCAATGTACTTAATTAAGACTCTTGACCTCAGCTGGGATATTACGACCAAACCTTGAGAAATCACCA